TGGGCCATAAACAAACAATAAGGCAAGGCAGGCAACTCAGAGAAGGGGCAAAGAAGCACATTCAAGGCAACTCAGAGAAGGGACAAAGAAGCACATTCAAGGCAACAGAGAAGAAGAAAGAAGTGAATTCAGAAAAGGTTTTCAGGCCATAATCATCATCAAACCCTAATACAAGCAAAGGGTAACACAAACCAGTTTTCCCAAGCTAGCTTCCGTCATCACCGAACCTCCGCCAAAGCCGCCTCAGCGCCTCCAAGTGCCCTCCTTCTCCGTCTCCGAAAGGTAGAAGCTCCTTTTATCTCTTTCTAAAATCACGCATAAACCAGAAACAAAACCAATAAATAAAAATGAAAACATGCAAAGACAGAATCAAAAACCTAAAAATGTTCCAGTTTGTTACCATTTCGCGTTTTGGTTTAATCCATTCATGGAGGAAGGAAGCAGGGACGGTGGCGAGGGCTGGCCATAGACGGAGAGGCATTCTGAGGTGAAAGCGTGAGAATGATCGGAGAAGACGAAGTGGAATAAGCGAACGGTGCCTCTGTCTCAGTAAACCCTAACGTGTTTCAAATGAAAACAAAATATGAAAACCCTAAAACCTTTTGTGTCAAGACTTGGGCCTTGCTCTTTCTGCGCCTAAGCCCAACGAGTTTCCAGTTCACACCCCTTCTTTCTTTGTTCTTTTTATTTTTACTTAGGCCCAAGCCCATTTATTTCTTCTTTTCACTTCCTTTTTTACAAACTAAAATTTTGTTTATTTTCTTTTAACTTAACTCTTTTGAAAAAAATATACTAGCTTTGTATATAAAAAAATACTAACATAATTAAATAAAATACAAAATATGACAATAATACTTTAATACATAAAATACTTAAAAATACATTTTTTATACATAATTTAAATTCTTAACATTTAATTAAAATAATTTGTACATTAATACAAAATACGCAATATAATAAAGATGTAAAAACATTTTTCTTTCTTTTAAACCAAATACTTTCTTTTGTACATAATCAAGACAAAATACCTTTTTTTAATACACATAATTAAGGATTTTTAACATTTAATTAAAACATTTTCTTTTTTGTACATATTAAAGAAAATACAAGATCACAAATCAAAGATTAATAAATATCTAATTCTTTTCTTTAAATTAAAACAATACTTAATACACATTTAAATTCACATTGTCGCACCTGTAAATAATTACATATACAAATATACATACACGTATACACGTACACTTACACAATATACTTATATTTGATACATTATACATTTGCCTATTTTGTATATTCGTTACATTTACATTCGATCGATTCGATTTGGTTGTAATCTATTGGATATTACATTCCTAAGTCTCATCCCCATTTGTAAATTTGTACCCCCACTCCCGAATACCTATTTTGTAATAGTGTAGATTTTACATTTCTGCAATTTACCGCTTTCGAATTATACCATGGTTAGACCTAGGGTTTGCATGTACATAAAATCAAACGCTAGATAACCTAATACAAGACAAATACATGAAATCAATACACAATCACACTTGCACCCTCTAGGGTAATTCCACATGTTGCCTTCCAAAATGGGCCATGCTTGCACGTCGAGTATCTTTGGCAAAACAAATTCAAATGATCATAAGTCCCTCGATGACGCTTTCAAAAGTTGCCTAAATATAATGATCATAGTCCCTTCAAAGCAAATTGCCAAAGACACTTGGCACCATTGCATTCATGGTCCATACGATGACCCGCGCCCGTCCCGTTAAACATCCTAAACGCAAGATTGTCCATCAATTTCAATGGTGGAACAAAATTGTTAAAAAAAAGGGTTGAAAACATAGAGAAAACCTTTGAGTACAATAGGGTAGACAAAACTCTTAGTTACTTGAGATCAACTTGTAAAAACACTTGCCTTCTTTTCAAAAACCACATTCCGCAAACACTTTCAAAACAAACTCTCAAAAACATTTGAAACATCTTTTCGAAAAGATACACACCTTTGTAAAACATTCGAGTAAAGAATTGTTACAAGGGTAGCCTAAGACAAGGCATCTTCTTCAAAAAACATTTTTCAAAAACACTCACACACACCACATTTATAAGCAATCGAAAATCAAGGCAAGTGATCTAAAAACCAAGTAACTAAGAGCCCATGGATAACCATGGATGAAAAGGGTGCTAATACCTTCCCTTTTCATAATCTACCCCTCGGACCCACGAAATATCTCAAAAGGTTTTTGCTGTGCTTTTTTAACCTTTCCTTTAGGATAAAATAAAAAGTAGGTGGCGACTCTTGCTCAACCGAACAAGTGCGAATACAAACGCAAACCTACAGTCAGTTCTCCCACCGTATCACAGAACTGGCGACTCTGCTGGGGATACTGAAAAGTGGGGTTACCTTAGGGTTTAGACCACCTTTACTATCTTGCTTTGATTGACTTGATTGCTTTATCTTTTGGGTTCTTGTTTGGGTTTGTTGTAAATCCTCCACCCGGATTTGGGGCACCTTCTTAGGTAAATAGAAAAAAAACTGTGAGGGAACTGTGCGGGGTATACCGACACGGTTGAAGCAGTAAGCTATGTTAGTGTGACATATTTGTGAGTACCGGTAACCCTTGAGTTCAATCAAGGAGAGTACGGGGCCGTTGATTGATGTCGTGAAGCACTAACGAACTCTTAGAACCTTAATTGACCATCTTAGCCTTTTTAGGGGTAGTGAGATGACCGACTTTGGTGCAGTCCGAAGTTGGTAGATACTCGATACTACACTCATTTGAGGGTTGTTTTCTTGGAATATTTTGGTCGCCAGTTAAGTGGCTAAACCGAAACAATGAACACAGAAAACAATCCAATGATATTGAGCTCCTTAGAACCCGGTTTCTATTTTAGGACAGGATGAGCCAACTAACTTCAAGAGGGTACTTACCTAAACCTCATGCAAGCCTAAACCTAAGGACTTGTTTGCTTTGTGTGAATATGTTTGTCTGTATATACACTCACTTGCTTTTCGCATACATAACATCATGACATCATACCATAGCATTTTCAATAATCATTTCAAGGATCTCGAGGGTTCTTTTGATGCAGGGTTACGTTGAACCAGACGTCTACCAAGGGGCAAAGGGGCAGGAGGTTTTTCCTCTAACCAATGCCAATCAAAGATCAAGTACAACAACTTGGATCAGTGGCTATGACCCACTCGACATGGTGAGCTTGATTCTCGTGGAAAGACATCCACCGATACACAGTTCTCCAAACAAAGATCAAGTACAACAACTTGAATCAGTGGCTATGACCCACTCGACATGGTGAGCTTGATTCTAGCGGAAAGACATCCACCGGTGCAGAGATCTCCAATCAAAGATCAAAGTTCGACCTCTAACATTTTCTTGTGTTTACCCCAAGAGATCCTTGAAAGCATGCATCCACATATCATGCATTGCATCTCGAAGATCTTTCCTTTTTCAGGTTTCCTTACTCTCCTGCTGTTTATTTCAGTAAGAGATGGCTCTAGAAAGGTCTGTCAAAGACATCCAAGACCAGACTGCTCAGCTGCAGGAGATGTTCCTGAACATGTCTCTGAGGCAAGAAGATATGAAAGCTCTCCTCACAAAGGGCTTGGAGAATTCAAACAATGCCAGGAGTGACCAGCTTGCGGAGTTGCAGTTTGATCTGACAACATTGAGGACCCAAGTGATGGGACAGTTGGTGGGCCAGATGGCTCTCATCCAAGACCTATCTCAAAGACAAGAGGAACTCAGAGTTCTTGTCCGCCAACTGCTTCCAAATAACCAATTGGGACAAATAGTTGAGGTTGAAGAGCAAGTCACCGCTCAGCCTCCATCCACTCAAGAGAACAAGGGGAAAGCTCCTTTGCTTGCTTCAGGGTCACAAGCCCCTCAACAACCTCGCCAGCGTCAACAGGGTAATCGGCGTAAGCAAGAAACGTCGGGAAGACAGTTCACGGAGACTGAAATACCATCATTCTTCATACTGAAGCGCCTGTTGGAGGTCAATCTGCTTACCTTGAAGGACCCTCCTCAGAAGCTCAATATCTCCTCTCCTAACTATCGCCCCGACGCATTTTGTGTTTATCATTCCTACAGCCCAGGACACGACACCAACGACTGTTGGGCCTTGAAGAACAAGATTCAAGATTTGATCGACATTGGAGTGCTGGAATTCATGCCAGACGGCGAGATGAAAATCTTCCATTAAAGGGTTCTCCACCTGAAGTGACGAAGCTCAAGCTGAAAGACTTTTGCTTCTTTTTGAATTTTCAAAGTTGTAATTTCTTTTGCTGTCAAACAATTATCTGTTGATGTTAAACTCTGTTTTCATTAATGCATTGCATATGTTTGTCTTGAATTCATCCATTCGTTTCACTACTCTTATGCTTTTCTTTATGATATTTGACTCTTGATAAAAAGCTGCAAGCCTTTAGAGGGAGGATGACGAAACAATACCATGATCTTATACAATATGCTTTTGAACAGACCTTGCTGATGATGTACAGGCATTTCTTTCAATTCCCAAACACTGGAGTTATAAGGAAGTTAATCCCTAGTCAACCCCTTCGAGCCAAAGAAGTAGGAGTTTTATGTTCTAAACAATCAAAACCTTTGATATAAACCTGGGGCAGGATAGTATCTTAGTTAATTCAAAAGAAAATGCACATTGAAGTCGCAAACTCTCAGTTCGTAACGCAACGAACGACGTCAAAAAAGAAAGCATTCCTTTAGAATCAAAAGACAAGGGTGGTTCCCTATCACATAGACAGTCAATCTCTCTGTAGCGGTGAAAATCGGAGATCAAGTTATTAATTAACTTGACTCACAAAAAGCAAGAGTCGCCACCGCGCTTTATTATTTTCAAGGGAAAAGGGAAAAGAGCGAAATAAAACCCTAAAATATGCAATGTAAAATAATACTTAAAAGTAATAAAAATACAATGCGTTTTTGAAAGAGATCGAGAGTTCGGGGGTTGGTTATACAATGGGAAGGTATTAGCACCCAATGCATTTGCGGTACTCCGTAGGGACCTTTTGAAATATCTGTTTTTTGGTTTAAAATTGTTTGTTTGATTAAAATGATTCGTTTGGCTAAAAGATGGGTATGGACAAGATTTTTGAAGATACGACGACCTAGTGTTGAAGTTTTGACTTAAAAGATGTGAGTTTAAAAATTGAATCTTTTGGGAAAATTATCTTGAGTTTAGCAAAATAGTAAACAAACAAAAAATGAAAAAAGGTGTTCGCACGATCGGATGAGATGTATTTGATGACGTGAAGTCAACAAATTTAAATCTTTCCCTTGGAGTTAAAACCACGGACGGATAAATAAGCTAAGAGTATGTCAAACCTTAGGTGAAAATAAATCACAAGCCGACAGCATCATCAAAAAAAACCTAATGTGAGATAATACTCCAAGCATCAGATAAAGCGCAAAGGCGGTGGATAAAGCTCACGATATCGGATAAGAATCCTTGCATCACAAGAGATATACCAACAAATCTAACAACACGGGAAATTTTTGTGCGTCCGCACAATTTTTAGAAGTTAGTCGGAATTGGAAATAAAATCACAATGCGATGAAGATAATATTTTTAAGAAACCTGAATTTATTTACAAGTAAAATATACAGTCAAAATATTATGTACAAGTGTATATTTACAGTACCAAATAAAATAAAAATAATGAAATACAATAAAGAGGTAAAGGGAGAAAGAAAAAGTGCAAATACGCTATGCGAGTATGAATAATTGAAATGAATTCTCGGAAACCTTCACAGTAAACAAACTTGTTAGGAGCATAAGCGGTATAAAAATTAAAATGAAGGAAATTGCAACAATTAGTATTTACGTTTGAAATCACAAAAATATAAAAGTCAAAATGAACTTGTATGATGTATATGAACAAATGGATATTTACACAAATAATCAAGAATTCGTGATATTATTCAATTTAATTCTGATACATGAAAAATCAAACTCAAATATACAAATCAAAAATTAGATAACAAAGAATCAATTTCCAAGCTTAAACACAAATATTAAACCGACAAACTTTGTGAATTGAATTCAATTTGAAACATAATCAAAACCATTCTTTAAAATCACTAAAAACCGCATGACAACATCAACACCGACAATTTAATAAACTCATGTCATTTTCATATTAAATCCACAAGTGATTAAAAATGAGTTTTGAATCAAAATTTCAACAAGAATAAATCCGGAAAAAAAAACAACTACAAATTTCATAGAATTAAAGTCTCAAAACAAACTTAAGATACATTTCAAACCATTAAACACCGAAAACAAATAGCATGTGCCTATGTTGTAATTGAAAATGACTTCAAATCATGAACCAAGTTTGGATTTAAGTCATAATCGAAGAGAGAAAAAGAAAATCGGGCAGCAATTAATGAATATGAAACAACATTCAAAAACTCAATCTCAAAAATATTCAAAACAAGTGAGATACACGATGTTGCCTATAACCAAAATTCTCTTTGAATTCCAAACGAATGTCATCATAATCTCCTCCAAACTTTCTCAAATAACATGGAAAAATTAAATTCAATGAAAATCTTAATCGAATCAAGTATTTCGGGCAGCAACTTTGCAAACATGATAACGCTCAATGAAGTCCATTTCAATCAAAGTCAATACCAAAGGACAAAGTGGTACCGACATAACGCTTTCAACATTCCGACTAACAACACTTATCATTCACAAACATAACACAAAATCCATCAAAACTCAATATGGTTTAACAAAAATGACCCAGAATTATTTCAACGGAACATCATGATATAGACACTCAAAACAAAATTTTCAATGACCAAATTTAACCCAAATGAATACAATTTCACAGCATAACAATTAAAAAATAAACCAAGCATAAACACTAAACAAACTGTTTTCAGAAATTCATCTCAACATTTGTTGGCAGCATAACGGTTATCAATTCAAATCAAGACAAAACAACAAAACCAACAGTAACCCAATAATTAATCAGAATATAATAATACAGTTTAAACAATCAAGAGGAATCGAAGAATTACCGAACAACGTCGAAAACGGAAATTGATTTAAGGGAGATTGGGAGAAAATTGCGTGTTGAGCAGAAGTGTAGATGGCTTGCTGATGCTGTGTCACAAAATATAGACGGAGGAAGTACCGAGATGGGCGATGGAAAGTGTTCTGATTTGCGGAGAAAGGCGGATGAAGGTGAGTTGCTGAAGTTGTTGAAGATTACCGGAGGAGTTGATGCCGCCGTCGCCGTGGAGTACCAACGACTCCATTTCTTCATCTTGGGAAGCGCGAAGAATGTGATCTTGGTTCATCATTTTATTTCTTCGATTCGATTCAAAAACTACAGATCCAACGAAAGGGATTTTCAGAGTTTCATGGTGGAGATTGTGAAGAAGATGAAGAGGGTTGTGGTGGGTTCGATTTTCGCCATTGGAAGCAACGATGAGTGGAACTGTGGGGAGAATTAGTGAAGTGAAAGCATTGTTACTGTGTTGAAGGTTTTTTGTGGAGGTTAGTTTGGACTCTATTTCACTGTAGGTGGAGTACGGAGATTAGAATCTAGAACAAATCACGGTGGACTGTGCTTGTGTTGTTGACGAAAGCAAGGTGTTTAACTCGGGCTCACGGTCACCGGTTTAACTTGGGATGGGAGTATGTTGAAGTGATGGCGTTGGAATGGGTTAAAAGGAAGGAGGCGGATAGTGTTAGTGGGTTGATGGTGTTAGTGGGTTGATGGTGATAAGGGTAGGGAATTGAAGGGCGAGAGTTGATGAACGGTGGTGATGCAGCATGGAGAGAGGGTATGACAATGGATAAGGGAGTTTGATGAGATTGAAAGGAGATAAAGGGTGGATTACTGTCAGCAGAAAAAAATAGAGAGTTAAAGAGTAGATAGAGATTATTGTGTAGGATTTTTGTTGTGTCTTGTGTCCCCCCCTTTGCAAAGAAAAAATGAAGCCTTTAAATAGAAAAAGAATAGAAATATTATGATTTCAAAATAAATCCAAGCCGTTCAATATAAATCCAATCTCTATCAATCCGCAAACCATGCTTTCGACCAATGAGAATTCAATCTCTATCAATCCGCAAACTATGCTATCGACCAATGAGAATTAAGCGAAGCCTAATTAATATTTTGTGTGACCAAAAAATCTCTGAATGACAAAAATAAAATAAAACCTGAAATTATAAAAAATAACTCAATTTAAAATGATTTTTTGAATATTTTATGAATAAAAAATAAAGACCCAAAATGATCGAAAACGATAAAAGAACGGACGAAAATTTATCCGAAAAAATAAAATGAACACATTAAAATAATCTGCATGTCACAAAGATTAAAGAAAAAATATTCAAGAAGTCAAAAATCAAAAATAATAATGAAAATATCAGACTAAACAGACGTTTAAGGTTAAAACGAGACTTCGAACTGTACCGAAAAAATAAAGCGAGCATACCGTCATAATCTACGCGAAGCGCAGATTCATAAAATGATCGGTAAAAGGTGAAAACTTGAAATATTTTCTCGCTACTTTCCCGCATAGTGTCGAATCGCTTTTAACAGTCTGTCTATAAAACCAAAATATTTTATTATTGACATATAAACAACTTGGAGCAATGCAAGAAATGGTAAACAAATAAAAATGAATGAAATGAAATGTCGGGTATTTTACAACTGAAAGACGATGCAAACTTTGATTTAAACTGACTTTTTCTGGTCAACCTAAATACGACTAATGATGCAAAATGCGATGAATGAAGGTATTTACTAATGATTGTGACCAAATGACAAAATATGGTATGAATGTGCGACTGAAAAACATATTAGGGGCGAAATCAAGGGTGCAACGGTGTGCCTTGATGAATCGGTCTTCAAGAATCCACAATCAACCGTACTTCTGGCTTGGGAGACTCAAAATCTTAATTGAGGCGCGACACCTGATGCTCTTGATTCAGACCTGTCTCTGCACATAACACAAAAGAAAACATGAACATACACCTTTGTATGCGATTAGAAATTAGTGATGCATAGGCTAAAAATGTTTAAAACACTTGACAATCTTTGCATAGTCAACGCTCGAAGGTGAGAGGTTAAAACCGACCGTATTTAGTGACCTTGACTTTTGTATAAAAAATGCAAAAATGCAAGTGGGATCTTAGGTCAAAAATTGGGGTACAACACTCTCAAAAGAGAAAAAGCCCACCAAGCCAAAACCTATGAAGGAGGCTTAAGAAAGCTGGGGCATCCCGCTGACTGTAATCTCGAAAATGGGAACAGTCAGGCAAAAGTTAGGGATAACAAATCAAAATAAAAATAGTGAGGTCGTTACAAAATCCTCAACAACATGAAAAATGTTGAAAAAGAAAAGAGGAGATGATGACTGTCTCCCCAAATTCAACTGGTGAACCATCGCCCAAAAGTCGTTCCAAACTCAAAACAGAGTGAGACGCACAATTAACTGAGCTTAGGTTGAAGAACATCACGAAGAGCGGGTGGGTACAAATATACTTTGAGCCTTTATCCTTTGTTTCTTAAACCGTGAACCAAGCCACGTTACAACCCTTCAAAAGTCCTAATTGAAGCATGGGTTAGTTCGAAAGCATACTGTTACAAAAGGTATCCTGACTCCTGTAAGGCTTTGCTCTAAAATCTTGTGTCGAATTTGTCTTACAAAAAAAGTTTTCCTGCTAAAAAACGCATTTTTCAAAACTTTGAGACAAACATAAACTTTGCATTGCTTGAATATCACGGTTTGCATTTGGTTATTTGTTTGACAGCGAAGAAATTCATACAGCGAATGTTCGGAGGAATGAAAAATCTCTCAGTGAACAAAATCACTTCAAAGAAGGATGACACTTCCATTAACAGATCTCCTATCAACAAGGGGGCTTGACATGTCACCATCTAGCACGCCTGGGGCAATCCAGTCAAGGTTTCAACAGATCTCTCAAAGTTCGGTTAACCTGGGGCAGTCCAGTCAAGATTTCTACAAAACTCTCAAAAGTTCAGTGAACCTGGGGCAAGTCTCCGTCACCATCACTTGGGGCATTCGAATGTCAAAAGTGTTCAACGACTCCTTCATCACCTGTTGGAAGATATAGTTTTACACAGACTCATCATCAGGAAACCCTACACCGGTTCCTTCAACTTCAAGACTTCTGAAAACAGTTCACGGGTTCTCCAGTAACGGATGTTGACCTATCGCTTGTTCAGATTCTTCTCAAGACTTCTGAAAACAGTTTATGGATTCTTCCCAACAACGGATGTTAATCTGCCAACTTGTTTAGATGCAATTTTTGAAAACAGTTTACGGACGCTTCCCAACAACGGATGCTGCTCTATTGCTTATTCAACTTCAAGACTTCTGAAAACAGTTCACGGGTTCTCCAGTAACGGATGTTAACCTATCACTTGTTCAGATTCTTCTCAAGACTTCTGAAAACAGTTTACGGATTCTTCCCAACAACGGATGTTAATCTGCCAACTTGTTCAGATGCAATTTTTGAAAACAGTTTACGGACGCTTCCCAACAACGGATGCTGCTCTATTGCTTATTCAACTTCAAGACTTCTGAAAACAGTTCACGGGTTCTCCAGTAACGGATGTTAACCTATCACTTGTTCAGATTCTTCTCAAGACTTCTGAAAACAGTTTACGGATTCTTCCCAACAACGGATGTTAATCTGCCAACTTGTTCAGATGCAATTTTTGAAAACAGTTTACGGACGCTTCCCAACAACGGATGCTGCTCTATTGCTTATTCAACTTCAAGACTTCTGAAAACAGTTCACGGGTTCTCCAGTAACGGATGTTAACCTATCGCTTGTTCAGACTCTTCTCAATGCTCTGAAAACAGTTTACGGATTCTCCAGTAATGGATGTCAATCTATCGCTTGTTCAGACTCAAGACTTCTGAAAACAGTTCACGGGTTCTCCAGTAACGGATGTTAACCTATCGCTTGTTCAGACTCTTCTCAACGCTCTGAAAACAGTTTACGGATTCTCCAGTAATGGATGTCAATCTATCGCTTGTTCATACTCAAGACTTCTGAAAACAGTTCACGGGTTCTCCAGTAACAGATGTTAACCTATCGCTTGTTCAGACACTTCTCAACGTTCTGAAAACAGTTTACGGATTCTCCAGTAACGGATGTCAATCTATCGCTTGTTCAGATTCCAAGCCTTCACCTGCAGCAATCAGAGGACTCTCGCAATCCCCATCCAGAAAACCTTCCAGAGGCTAACTCCCCTCAGAGTCAAGTCTCATTATCCCCAGCGAAGCTAAAAACTTCCAACTATCAATCCCCAAGCAGACTGAAGATCTCCTCAAGACAGGAATTCCCCAGTAGTTTGGCATACAACCCGAGCTTCTGATTTCCCCAACAGTGGTCCCGAGACTTCTCATTTTCAACAATCAGATGATTCTTGCCCTCCACAGCAGCAGCCAAGGATTTGTTCTCCCCGGCAGCAGTCAAGATTCTTTTATCTTCAGCCATCCAGGATTCATTTATCCTCAGCAAGACAGTTCTTCAGCTTACATGCACATTCATCACATTCATGTCATAAACATTGATGTCACATACATTGCATCATGCATCATAACATCGCATACAACTAACCCTTTGCCTTTTCAGGTAAGATCAGTCGACAGACAAAGATCATCTCCCAAGATTCATCCAGAAATAGTTAAGATGTGACCCGGACACGGTGACATTCTGATACTTATTCCAGATCCATCCAGATGCAGTTTTATACGAGCACATCATCAGGAAGCCCTACACTGGTTCCTCTTCCTCTCAAACTTCTGAAAACAGGTCACGGGTTCTCCAGTAACGGATGTTAATCTATCACTTGTTCAGATGCCAACTTTTAAAAACAGTTTACGGACGCTTCCCAACAACGGATATGGCTCTATTGCTTATTCAATCTCAACTTCAAAATAGTTTACGGATTCTCCAAACATGGATGTCAATCTATTGCTTACTCGGACCCCCAATTCAGAGATGTTCCAAAACATGGGTGCCTGTCTGATACTCGTCCACTCACCATTGACATACAGTTCAACATTTCCAAATGGCATCTTTAAGCCCATTTCCAGATGGCATCTATAAGCCCATCCTCCTACCAGCAGTCACCAAAAATGGCATCTTTAAGCCCATTCACCTCTACCATCACATCGCCGAGTGCAAATTTTCTGGGCACTTTAGTGTCCAATCTCCTTTTATCTTCGAGTCACGAAAGGCAAACTTGCCAATCTAACTCTTCAGGTTCAAGAAGATTGAACAGGGGCAACTGTTGTACCCCAAAATTTTCCCTCGCATTTTTCCACAAGAAATCACAGCTTCAGGCGTTTCCTGATTTTTCAAACTGGCTCAAGAATCGGTCAAACAGACTTTTCTCGTCAGTCAGACACAATTAGGGTTTTATTGATTTTCAGGGCCCTGGAATGTTTCACACAGTTGGCTT